GATAAAGATGAGCACAATAACCACCATGATCGCTACGGCTACGATGACGTCTTGCATGGCAGTCTGCAAGACCAGCAGATTTTGATCGACAATCAAAAATAGCGGCTCGAAAATGAACCCCTGCACCGCAGATTCGCCAAGTCGACGACGAAGCAGTGCAGCTAACTTGGTATGGTTTTCCTGCCCACAGTTGCGCAGGCGGATGGTCATTTTCATGTAGTGAATGAGCGACAGCGTAGACGAATCCAGCTGAACATCATCTGCAAAGCGGCGACTGTCTGGGGACATGAAGAACTCGTGCAAGAACCGGACATAGTAACGATTGGCGTTCAGTGACCGATTTCGGCTTTCCATAAACGCCATAAAGTTGTTCAGCCAAAAGCTGCCTTCAGAGGAGTATCTGCTGTAGGCCAAGGAATGGTACAGAGAAAGCAAACGCTTGATCGCCGTCTCTTGACCGATGTCCATCGGTTCGGTGATCACCACCGAGGCGTATCCACAGTATGCACTGAAGTACTTCTCGTTGATCGCTACCGTTCTCGAAACGGGCGAGTCATGCGGGATTAGATTTTGTACGTTTAAACCAAATCTTATGTTGACGACGCCATATAGCGCACTTGCAAGAAAAGTCACGTACAGCAGTACAGTACCAACCCTGATCAGCTTGTTGCTTAGGGCGTCGGCTACAAAGGTTGCGAATATCTGGTTCCATCGACTGAAGTTGAAGCACCACATTACGTTCAGGAAACATTCGCCAGGCCGACTGAAGCAGCATATTTGTCCAAACAACGAAGTGGACATTTTACCTAAGTGCTTACGTCGATGAGGACTTTGTAACCTACTGCTTAATTTACCTGAACAGCTGCCTTCCGTGTTTACCAAAAACAGGCAGTGTTGCTTGGATGCCTCTCTCCTTCCGTCAAGCACGAGGCACGACACAAAAAACGTCGTCTGGTAAATGAAAGCGAATGTCAGCGCCAGTGCACAGTACGTGCAAAAGATTTCTAAAATATTTGTAGCTGGCATTTCTTCATTTCACGTTGTCACTTGCATCGC